AGGCATGTGCCCTGACTGGGAATCAAACCTCGATCCCCTAGTTCGCAGGCCCAAGCTCAATCCACTGAGCTATACCAGCCAGGGATGAAATAACTACTTTTTGAGGAGCAAAATAAACTCTGGTTCCTCAGTCCTAACATATTGTAGATCTGAGCCCCAAAGCGTCCATGTTTTCAGCAGATATGATTTACTGTAATCAACGTGTATTCTAACAATACTTTGTTTTGACTTGGCATTTTGCTTGTTTCTTTTTAGATTGGCATATTTATTTTAAAGTATTTTCTCGGTGGTTTCTTTCTCAGTGTTTGACTTGAGCTTTAGCAAATTAAAACAGGTTATTCTTCTAGGAGCAGAAAGATACAAAATGCTGCTTTATTTTCAGTTGCAATTCTTTCAGGAGGGTCTTTTAACGGTTTTTGCGGCAGGGTCGGTAGTCTCTGTTAACAAGATAAACTGGGGGGCCTTCACACTGCCCCAACTCCCTTCCCTTCCTTTTCACACGAGGCAGCTAAATTGGAGGTCGGATGTCATGAACCTGGAGTTTCCTGCTGCTGACACTAAAGTTTTATTTTGTGTTGGGACCAGGAATAATTCAGAGGCCAAACCGAAAGGCATGGTCTCAAAGTACATTTGATTTGAAAACACCGCTTCCCACGGCAGGAATTCTCGACATCCCCGGGTTTATGAAGAAGAGTGTGGCAATGCCATCCCCGTTTCCTTACTTAGCTGTCCCCCCCCCACACACACACACACAGGTGTATAAACTATTTATTAGCAGACAAGGCCTCCAGATTTACTTCTTCGTGGATGCACCCACAGCGCGACCCCTCAGCCTGCGGTCTTGGCGTGCTGGCCTCCCACACGAAGACCCCAGAAGTGGCGCAGCCGTCTGTGGGCCCGAGTTTTCTCCAGCCGCTCCAGGCCTTCTTGCTGTCCAGACCGCTGGCCAGCACCTGGCTGTGGTTCCCTCCTTCTCACCCTCTGTCTGCACAAGAACCAGGCTGGGACCCCGTGCTGGCGTGGGTTCTGCGCCCTGGTGACCACCCGTTCGACCTCACCCCCGGAGCCCTGCTGCCCTCTCGGTGAGGTCGGTGTCTGCTTCCTCCACGGCACAGAGCGTGTCTTTGCCCCGCACCCTTCTCTGCAGTGCCGGCAAAGGCCACTTTCCAGCGCCCATTGATACTGGTGTTGGGTACTCACAGAATGAGCTGGGACTTCTCAGGAATCATGGGAGACCTGGCTGCAGGGGCATGTAGGCTTCCCGAGGAAGTCTTGTCTTTTAACTGAATTTATTGAGGGACACTGTTTAATAAAATGATATAGGTTTCAGGTGTCCAATTCTACAATACATCATCTGTATATTGTACTGTGGGCTCACCGCCCAAGTCAGGTCTCCGTCCAGTTACCCCTTTGACCGTTTTCTGCCTCCCCCAGCCCCTTCCCTCTGGCAATCACCGTATTGTTGTGTCCGTAAGTCTTTCTTTTGGGGGGGGAGGGGCGATCTTTTTTTTTTCCTTTGCTTAATCTCTTCCTCCTTCTCACCCAGTGTCCAACCCCCTTCTTGGTTTCTAAAACCATACTGTGTTAAAATTTTAAAATCCAGTTTGGCTGTATGGGGTAGAAAACCCAACCAACCAGTGGCTTAAGATAGAAGTTGGTCTTAAAATGGTGGGAAAGTGGTGGCTTCTCTCTCCAACGTTTTCAGGGACCCTCTGGAGTTTTTAGGGTCCCCATCTCGTAAAGAGTCATACAGAAATGTTGTGTGTAATGTGATCTGTGCTTCAAAACAGCATGGGAGGGGAGAAAGTGGCTGAGTTGTGGCTGCAGAGGGACGGGCCATGGTCAGTGGTTTGGGCGGCTGGGTGTTCATCATCCTGTTTCTGCTGGAATGAGCTCCTTGACCCTCCCCTTTTTCTCTGTTCTTTCTCTTGTTAATTAACCTAATGTTTTTATTAGAATCTGTAAAATGCATGAGGGGAAGCTGAGACAGTAGATTCATCGTGCTTCTGAAATTATCGCTGATTTTGCAGCATTAAGGTCACGTAGAGTACCCATGAAAAAGGGGTCACCTTCGCCCCAGCACTGAGGAACGGACATACTCAGCAGGTGAATATCCCAATGGTCAGAAAGCCAGTCCCACGTGGCTCATCCACAGAGCACATCAGCTGCTTCATGTGGGGTCTTCACTTGACATTCACGGGGACAGTCTGTTCCCTTTCGCAGAGTAAATGGATCTTACAGCGGCTCTCATCTAGTGCGTCAGGCTGGCTGCTTCCCCAGGACTAACATGCTGTATGTCTGGGCCTTACACAGTTATGAAAGAGATAATTCAAACGCATAAATTTGAGGGTCTGATTGGCTTTGTTGAACGACTCATGAATCTTGGGCAGCATCCCATCTAGCAAATAGAGAGGTGCTTCGGAGACACTGTACAAGGCGGAGGGTTTGTAGACAAACTGGGGAAGACAAGAAAGTTAGTAGAAATGTTCCCTATTTCTTTTGTCCTCAGCCAGCACCATTGTGTGGTAGCAACCCAATTTTCCCTTGATGGCCAGGATCAGTCACCCAGACAGCACTTTGCCTGTTGATTCAATGCCTGAAGAGGCCCAGATGGCAGCTTCACGTTCCAACTCAAGGCAATCTTTGATGTGTCTCCTGGTGAGAGTAGTTTTCCCTTTGTAACTAAGACCTCTAGACCAGCAGAGGCTGAAGTCGCAGGGATGGAAAGCAAAACTTTGACCATGGATCACTAGGATTAATAGGGAGAGAAATGACTTTTCATTCTCATCTCTTGATTCCTGGACTCCAAAATCCAGGGGACGGGGGGAGAAACAGGATGCTGATTCGGAGCCTGCGCCACTTACTGGAGGACATTGCCCCGGCCCTGCCAGGTGTCACCACCTAGCTGGCACTGTAACCAAATCTTCAAAAGGCCATTCAACCATCTGTCAAGGCAGTTGCTTCAAGATGGTGGGGAACATGGTAAGACCAGTGACCTCCAAGAGCTCAGGCCCCTGCCACCTTTCACTGTCTGTGAATACCACGATGGCAGACGAGGCCTTCTGTAAGGGCACAGATGGTGGTTTTAGCAGAAGCACTGCGGGCAGGGAAGACAAATCCATGTCCAGAGCAAGTGTCAATTCCAGCAAGAACAATTGGCGGCCTCTTCCATAATGAAAGTGGTCCAATGTAATCAACCTAACACCAGGTGGCTGGTCCCTTTGGGCAGTGGCACCATGTGAGGGGCTTAGTGTTGTCTCGCCTGTTGGCAGACCAGGCACTCGGCAGGAGCTTTAGCCGAGTCTTGGTGAACACAAAGGCCCTGTTGCGGAGCCCACGAGTAACCTATGTCACTGTCACCATGACCACTTTGTACGTGAGTCCACAGGAGCTGCTAGGAAAGAGGCTGATGTCTACAGAGGGGGTCATTTTATGCACCCAACTATTGAAATCTTCCTCAACCCTTTGGGGAGCATTCAAACAGAAGTATTCAGAAAGGCCTGTCATACCCTGGCTGCTGTGGCTCAGTGGATTAAGTGCCAGCATGCAAACCAAAGGGTCACTGGTTCAATTCCCAGGCAGGGCACATGCCTGGGTTGAAGGCCAGGTTCCCAGCAGGGGGCACGCAAGAGACAACTACACATTGATGTAGTTGTCTTTCTCCCTCCCTTCCCCCTCCCTAAAAATAAATAAAATCTTTAAAAAAAGAAACATTGGCAACTTTATTATTTAAAAAAAAAACATCTCTCCTTGTACCTCTTCCTCGGATCTTTCCACTGTCATGTTCCTTGTCAGCCCAACTCCCCAGCCAGACCATGATTTGGTGCAGTCTCTTCCCTTCCAGCCACCTCTCCTACCAGGCAGATGAACAAACGGACGCATTGCTCCAAGTTCTGTCCACGGGGAGAATTGCCCTTCATCACCATGGGTCAGGGCTGCCTCACAGAGGGACTTCAGTGCTGTCCACTTTCAGGTGACGCATGCAGGTCACGCAGAACTCTCTGGAAACCAAGCCCGAGGCTTTTCTTCCTCAGTCGACTGACCATAGGGAAGCCCTATGAAGGCATGGGTTTGGGCTGAGACTGTAAAGCAGCAGGAACAGGGGCCTTGGGCGAATCTGGGAACTGGCCACAGGATCTTAGGGTAAAGGGTTAACCTCACCCTAGGGTTACCCTACCCTTACCCACAGGAAGGGATGGAAGGGCTGCTTCTGGGGGTAGAAGTTTGTGGCCCCTAGCTTCATTGAAATCTGCCCTATGACCCATCCTAATGTTCAAACTTGCATTCCTTCCCAACCAATATCCACAACTTTTAATAAGAGACCCTTGGAGACTGGGAACTCAGTCGGTGTTGTAAATCAATGCTGGAGGCACTCACAAGACTCAGTAACTGCTTATACCGATAGCTAAAGCTGTTTCCAGCACAAGACACTTAGCAGAAGCAGCGTTGGTAGAGTCTGGGGGATCCAACCCTGGCCTCTCATGTCCTTTGTCATCCAAGGGCACACAGATGCTCTCCCTTGAACGGCGAACTGCGGAAAAGTGTGCAGGCCCTCTGCCCGAGGAAGCCTGTTTTAGTCTCAGGTCCAGAGGGGCGGGTCATGAAGGTATAACTTGCTATTAACTCTTTCCCCATGTTCCGCAGGAACATGCCTGTATGGTTTTCAGAATCTCAGCCCCACAACCTATAGGGTGTAGCATTCCCTGCACAGCATCATAGAAGCTATCAAATTCCTCATGCAGACCCTGAGCCACAAATGAGAATGTGAAAGTCCTGAACACATCATTTTAATTTCAAAGGCGTGTAGGAATCCTTTGACCAAACAATTATGCATCTAGGAATTTATTGTAAGAAAATAATGAGGATGTGCATAAAAATATAACTACCAGGGTGGGTCACCAGAAGAGCAACAAAGTAAAAAGTGCTTACCGGAAACAACTGGGCATTTGGAACACAAATCATGGCACATCCATAAAATGGAATTCTCAGCAGCCATTAAAAATGTTATAAAAGAACATTTATTGACATGAAAAGGTGATGACGACATTGTGATGTGTGAAGGAGGCAGTAAAATGATGATTCGATTTCTGTAAAAAATGTATTTATAGCAAAAAAAATACTGCCAAGGATATACACTGGAGTGGTAGCAAGTGCGTATCCCAGGGAAGGGAGTAGAGAGGTGTTTATTTGGTTGTTTGCCCACATCCCACCCCCACCTTTTAATATAAATCACGTAGGCTTTTATAGCAAGAAAAATGTACTGTAATTCAACACCTTCATTTTGATGAAAACAAATCCATTTTTAAAAGTTCCAGGCTTTTTCAGAAGCAGAAGTGATTTTGAAGTTGCCACACAGGCAGTGAGTCTGTTCTCGGCGGAAGCTGGCAGGGACCCTCACAGGGACGGCCTGAGTTAGATCTGCGGGGAGAAGGGGCTTCCTGCAGCTTCAGTGTGCTCGCCTCAGCTTCCGAGCCCCAAGGCCGAGCTGCTCCCTCCGGCCCAGGGCATCCTATTCTTGCCCAGTCACCAGCTTCATCATCTTCAGAGCTATGTCCCCTTGGTCGGAAGGAACCTAGAACCAAGCAGTACCCAAGTTAGTGCTCCCGGTTCTGTTCCTGGGGGTGGCATCCTGAGCCCCAGAAGAGTGCCCACTCTGTGTCAGCACCCTGGGAGCACAGATGCACCTGGGTGCGTCCCTTAAAGGGATGGTCATTTCTGTGAAATGTCCATTGTGCCGGACAAAAGCTCTCCTGGGCCCCAACCTTGCTGGGTGGCAGGGGCCTGATGTCTGCACTGAGGAAAGGACTTTCTCCACGTGGGGCTGATCTGCCCAGCTATTCATAAGGCCTCTGCTTCTGTGCTAGGGCCCAGCCTGTTCTACGAAGACAGAAAACTCCAAACATTTTACAGAAGGGGTCCCCAACCCCCAGGGCCTTGGACCACACTGGTCTGGGGCCTGTTAGGAGCCAGGCCAGGAGCTAAGCTCACCTCAGCTCTGCCTCCTGGTACCCACCACCACCCTGTCTCCCATGAAACTGGGACCGCTGTTTTACAGGATTCTTTGTGGAGGAAGCATCGGAGACTAGGCGTGGAGTAGAAAAACGGCCCAAGAGGGAAGCTAAGGGCAAAACTGTAAAGGACATGAACCAGCACGCGAGACCCTTTGTGTGGGTGGCATCCCTACTTTTATGTTGTGGTCAACTTTGTTTCATTTCTCGCTTAGAGTTTCTGAATAATTACTGTAAAAAAAAACTTCTTCCTGCACACCACCCAAAGGGGTAAGGGCAGAGGTCTCAGTTTCTCCTCCACAAACGACGGGGTCAGCGAGTTGAGGACTCCGAGCCCTGAAATTCCATGACTCCAAGCTTCTCTATGGCACGTCACTCACTGGCCCCATTCTCCCGCCCAGGCTGCCCAGGAATGGTAAGTCCACCAAACCGGCATTTCACCCACCAAAGGGGAAGTGGCTGGGGTATGATTTAGGAACAGTCTCCAAGAGCTATTTTAAGGCTGCCCCCAACCGACCTCTTGCTCCTTCTGTGACAAACCAAGGGGAAAGGGCGAGCCACCCAGCCTGTGTGTGGCTAGCTCCTCCCTCCTTCCCCTCCCACCCGATTCTCTGGTATGTTAAGGTCCAAGACGTGCCTGCTCAACTCTGAAGGTGCTCAGAGACTCAGAGCCACTAATGAAACGCCCCCTTCGCCCTGTCTTGCTGCCTTCATTCTCTCTTCAGTGTTTTCTTCTTTCTGGTTTCTTTAAAAGTTTTTTAAAATTTATTCTTAGAGATGGGGAAAGGAGGATGAAAGAGAAGATGAGACATGTGGATGTTTGAGAGAAACACTGATTGGTTTCCACTCGCAAGACCCCAGCTGGCTGGGGGCAGCTCCGGCACCTTGGCAGGGGTGGATGTCCGCACACACGTGCATGGCAGCGGAGCATCCAGCCCTCCACCGTCTCCTTCAGCCACTTAGTCCGCTCACAATACGAGGGAAAAGAGAGGGCTCAGGCCCTGGCTGGTGTGGCTCAGGGGATTGAGTTCCGGCCTGTGAACCAAAGGGTCGCTGGTTCGATTCCCAGTCAGGGCACATCCCTGGGTTGCAGGGCAGATCCCCAGTTGGGGGCGTGCAAGAGGCGACAGATCTGTTTCTCTTGCACACCCGTTTTTCTCCCTCTTGTTCTCCCTTCTTTCCCTTCTCTCTAAATGTAAATAAAATTTGTCTTAAAAAGGGGCTCGCTTTGCAAACACAGGAGCACAAGAGCCTCCCTGCCCAGGCCTGCAGGCAAAGCCTCTCCCAAACTGCGATTCTGGAGCCTCCGGAGCCAACGCTGCCTGCTGCTCGAGGACACTCCCTCAGCGTGTGCCAGCACCGCGCACCAAGCTCCCGTCTTCACATCCCGAAAACCTCAAGGAAGGAGACTCTGTCCCCAGGGCAGTGTGTTCCTCAGGACAATGAAGAGGGAGATAACGTTAAATTCATTTAAACTACAGAGTACAGAACAGACAGCCCAGCTTAACTCTCAGCAGGAATTGGTCTTTCAAATGAGAATTTCTAGACTCAAAAGAATGAAGCGCTAATGGCAGAATTTTGGAAGAGGCCTCAAAACACTCCCAATCCACAAGCGCTCTGAGTAAGACCCCCCCAGGTGGTGCGCCCCCCAAAACCCACTGCCTGCGGCTTCCCTCTGAGGACAACTCAGAGTCTGGAGCAAAAGCAGACTCCCGCTCACCATGTGTCCAGCTTTGAGAATCCAGTAGAAAGCCAGGTTCTTGTAGCTCTTGACAAAAGCCGCCGTTTCAGAAGACAGAGGGTCTCTGTACAGGGGCTGCCACTTCAGCTGACTGAATTTGGGCAGGTCTGCCCACTTGAGCTTCCGCACCCAGGCCTCCTGACCTGGCGAGAGAAACAAATGTGGGCCTGGCGGGCACTGCTGGGTGGAGCAGAAAAGAAAATGCAGGTCCTAGGACGTGGCTTTTCCCAAAGTGCAACGGTGCACAAAAACTCACCCTTGTAAAATTCAAATCAAAACCACAATGAGACACCACGTCACACCTGTGTGCATGGCTGTTGTCAACAGGGCAGGGGATCACGAGGGGTGGAGAGGGTGTGGGGAGAAAGGAAATCTCCTTCACTGTGGGCTGGTGCAGCCACTATGGGAAACAGCATGGTGGCGCCTCACAATTAAGGACAGAGTTACCATGTGACCCAGCGACCCCCCTTCTGGGGATCTACACCTGAAAGATCTGAAAACGTTTATTCGTAAGGATGTACGACCCCTATGTGCACTGCAGCATTATTCTCGGTGGCCAAGACGCGCAGGCAATGGAGCTGTCCTTCGACAGATGATTGGACAGAGGACGGGAGGCATACATAGAAGGCAGTACTACCCGCCTTAGGAAAAGATGAGGTGCCGTCCCTTGTGACGGGGATGGATCCAGAGAATATCATACTAAGCGAAGTCAGTCAGAGAGAAAAAGGGAAGGACCATGTGGTTTCACTCGTATGTGGGACATAAACCCAACAGCAATGAATAAACAAAAACCCACAGACACAGCAATGCGGTGACTCCCAGAGGGAAAAGGGGTGGGGAGAGGTGGAGAAGGATTAAAGGGTCAAAGACACGGTAATGAAGGAGACTAAATTTTGCCTGGTGAACACACAATGTGATGTACAGATGGTGTTACAGAATCGGACACTTGAAACCTGTATAATCTTATCAACCAATGTCATCCCAATACATTTTGGAAATTTAAAAAAAAAAGGTAACAGAGCCCTGGCTGGTGTGGCTCAGTGGAGTGAGCACTGCCTACAAACCGAAAGGTGGCTGGTTTGATTCCTGGTCAGGGCACATGCCTGGGTTGTGGGCCAGGTCCCCAGTTAGGAGCGTGCGAGAGGCAACCAATGGATGTTTCTCTCCCTCTCTGAAAATAAATTAAAATCTTTAAAAAAATTAAAAACCCTCACTCTTGTAAAAATGCAAATTCTAATTCAGCAGGTCTGGGTGGGGCCTGAGACTGTGCACTTGTAGCAAGCTCCTCAGGACACCCAGACTGCCAGAGACACCGAAGGGCTGAGAAGCCCGGCTGGTTTTGCTGTTAACTCTCCTACTGCCGTGTGCTGTGTAGGACACTGGGCACCTCTGGAGGGGACAGGGCTGTCAGAGGAATGAGAAGTCTCAGGGTTAGGAGATAGAAATGTGGATTACCCAAGCGGTGTCTAGAAGAAACACAGGACTTTTTCACGTTGTCCTGAGTTCCCCGGGCTAACACGTCACAAAAATGTTGAGTCCTGCTGACTTTGAGAAACACGTCATACCTGCCAGACCGTGTGCCTTGACCACCGGCCGGTTCTGAGAACCTGCTTCTGTGCTTCTACGTGGCCCTACTGAGCCCGGAAGGGGGCATGAGGTGACAGCCAGTGTGACAGGGACTCCCCAAAGACCACTTCCCTGGGTTTGGAGGCCCTAGAGTTTAGTCTTCATTCACCCTGCACCATTTCCCCTCAATTCAATAGTCCATCTGCCCAAAAGTCATAATAACCTCTTCCATTTCATTTTTGTGGTGGGGGTCGGTGTCATTCTTTTCTTTAGTTACACTTAAGGGCTCAAAAGCTGGATGGGCCTCTGAGGGGTCACAGATGCAGGCAGCTCCACCGTTTTCCAAGAGTCAAGGTCAGGGGTGGATGGATATAGCAGCAAATGTTATATCCAAGCATTTCAATGTCACCAGCCCCAAGGTAAACACATCTGAGGCTGGTTCCCTTCCGGCTCAACCCATGACACCACCTCCACGTGCCACCGAAAGTGGGTCCCTACCCATGGTGTCCACGATGAGATCCAGCTGTCCGTTATACACGGTCACGTTGACCCCGGCTTCCAGCAACTCGTCCACGATGCTGATGACGGGCTTCATGAAGTCCCCCTCCATGTTCAGGAAGACGCTGTTAGCCTGGCCTACGTGTGAGGAAGCAGGAAGAGGTAGCAGCTTGGAATCTGCCAGGACCAGAGGCCCCATTCAGCCCAGAGCCTCCTGGGCTCCGGCACCCACACACAAGCCCAGGGCGGCACCTAACACGGTCTGAACAACAGACACCTCCCCAGCAGGGGCCGGCCGGCCTGGATACCCGGGCCCTGCGTCGGTCACGCAGAAGGGAGGCACGCACAGCACGCATGCTCTATTCACTCAAGCGCAGTGATGACAGCAACGGCATTTTCAATGAGCAATTGAAGTCCAGAGAAGGTCAATGCCCAAGGAAATGGGGAGGCTCCAAAATACTCATTCGAGCCCTGGCCAGATGCTTCAGTTGGTTGTTGCATCATCCTGTACACCAAGAGGTTTCAGGTTCGATTCCCAGTCAAGACATATGGCTAGGTTGTGGGTTCAATCCCTGGACGGGATGCATGTGGGAGGCTACTGATCGAAGTTTCTCTCTCATATCAATAAACATAACTTCAGGTGAGGATGAAAAAAGTAAATACCCCGTATTTTGCTGTGTATAATGCGTACTCTTTTGCCCAGATTTTTGAGGGAAAAATAAGGATGCATGCTATACATGGGTAGGACTAATTCCTTAATGTACATAAACATTTTTAACTCTTTTATTTATGTTTATGTGCTAAAAGTGTAACTCTAGAAAGCAATAATGATAGCTGTATACAAAATACCACCCTGGAGTACAATAATCAGTTTTGTTTCTAAATATAAATAAATAAAAAGTCGAATTAAAAAATTAAAGTGTAAGATTTTTCTTCCTAAAAGTTTGTGTCAAAATTGTGAGTGAGCATTATACACAGCAAAATACGGTAAATAAATAAAATAAAATACTCATTAGGCTGGTCCTGCCAGGGAACAACCTGGACTCGGGCTGACGTCAGTCTTCCTCCTTTTTTTGGTTCCACTAGGGCCGGGTTCTAAGTTCTGAACAAGCAGGGCTACCCCAGTGGTAAACCAAAGCAATTCAGTGCCAGCCCTCAGGAAAGCTACATGGAGGACCAGGCCCAGGCAAGACACGGTGACCACATGGAGGACTAGCCCCAGGGAACAAGAGGCGGCCAGTTCGGCATTCCCACTGGACTCCTGACCGCCACCACCATACTGCACAATAATGACAATAGCAGTTACACTTATTTTTATTTGCCAGTCACTAAACTAAGTATGTATTTTGTAAGCAACACCTCGTTTCCTCTTTGTCGCTACCCTGGGAGGTAAGGTCTCTCAAGTCTCTTAACTTGCACAGTTGTTAAAGAAAATGAGGCTCAGAGAGACTAAGAAACATGTCAAGGTCAAAACAGCTAGTCCTAAGCTGGGACATGAACGAAGGCCTGGCTGACCCCAAAGCATGTAGGCTGAACCACCGACCAGAACTCAGGACACTTGGCATATCGGCCAAGAACACTAGGTTCTTTCCATTCCATACACAGACGCATCTGGAGCCAAAGGGAGTTTTCGATGAGGCATCGTCTGAGGAAAAAAGTAGTTGCCTGGCCCATCACTGGGCAGGGAGGGAGGGTCCCTGTCACCAGAGAAGCTGCCCCTGACCTCCTGTGATGCTCACACCTCTCCTCTCGGCACCATGACAGCTCCCCACAGTTGTCCCCACCCCCTGCAGCTCTGACACCACATTCTTTTTATTTGACCTAATTAACGTCTTTCTTCATTTCTAGAAAACTCTAAGGGGTGAGGAGGAAATGAAGATACAGGTCTGGGAGGAGCCTTCTGCTGACTGTGGGTTCTGAGGGTGGCCCGTGTCCCCCGAGGAAGAAAAGGCCAGAGTCGAGTCTTAGCCTCTCCACAGCCGACAAGGGGCCGCCCTAGAAACCCTCCGGCCGTGACTTTGGGGAGTCTCAGACACAAACAAAACCCTCTTCAGCCTGGAGTGTTTCCCCTCCAGGAGCCTGGGTTTTCTGCTTGCTCCCGGCCTTTCCAGAGGATTAAAGAGGAACTTAGCTAAGATTTCTATCCGGCCTGGTCTCCGAGGACCCCAATATTTCCTCACTATGACCTCCAGGCCAAAATGCAGCAAACCCCTGGACTACACAGAGGACTGCTCAAACTGTCCAAAAGGACCTCTGTCTGGAAGCCACACCTGTGACCAACTGTGGCCTTGGGCATGGCTTTCCTGTTTGTTTTTTAATTTAGCGAGAGGAAGGGGGAAAGAGAAACATCACTTCACTGTTCCACTTATTTATGAATTCACTGGTTGATTCTCGTATGCACCCCAACCAGGGAACAAACACACAACCGTGGTGTATCAGGGTGACAGTAACGTAACCAACCGGGCAACCCGGACAGGGCAGGGCTCGGCTTTTCCAAACCTCCACATGCTACTATGAAAAACTTCAAACTGACAGAAAAGTCAAGAGAAGAGTGTGATGATCCCACACACTCACACCTGGCTCCCACAATTATCGACTCCTAACCAACCACTTTATTTCCCCCCCAACCAACCGCTTCCTTGGAACCAAATCTGAACCCTAGCTGATGTGAATCACCATCCGTGAGACCCATTCTACAGACGAAGGCTCGGAATTTGCACCTTTCTTCTCGCCTCCCTCCAACTCTACAAGTGGCACCTCGTTAGGTCACGGAAGTTACCTCCCCAGGAGCAGTCCTCAGGAATAATTTTGAGCTTCGCTCTGATGGGGCCGTTCATGAGCTGACTCAAGTCATCAGGGTTCAGGTGTCTCACGTGGCGCTGGTAGAGATGAACTGAAACAGACTGGCACACAGTGAGTCACAGGAGTGCAGGTAACACGTCTTTCCCAAGCTGCTGGGGATGTGGCGGGTGAGACAGAGGCTTTCAGCTTCGAAGTGAAAAGCATCGCCCTGATTCACCCCAGACAAAGAAAGCCAGAACCACGTAGACAGTGGAGAGGACTCATCAGTGATGCCTGCTGCACTTTTAAAGTACTTTGGGGCCATGGAGACTGTCCCGCACGGCCGACTCGGGAGGACTCCTGCCGCCTTTACATGCCTCTAACAGAGGGAAGATGCCAGCACTTGGCACCCATGGTGAAGCTGGAGCAGCTGAAAGACAGCTCGATCCAGCCTACAGGAGGACTGATGTCGCAGTTCAGTGCGCGGAGGCTGGTTTGCAAAGTTCAAGGCCAGCTGTTCAAAAGACTACCTACTGCACAATGCCATTTCTGTGAGATGCCCTGAAAAGGCAAGTCTAGACGAAGAGAGAGCAGAGGCTGCCCAGGGGCTGAGTCAACTGTGGACACACATGAGAGATCTTTCTGGGAAACGTTCGAGAACTGGATTGTGGTAACAAGTCTGTGAGTGTACTAAAAATCACTGAGAAGACCCTTGAAATGGGTGGATTCTACAGCACATAAATTACACATCAAGAAAACTTTTTAGTCCGGTGACAGACAGTTACCAGACTGGCTGTGGTAAGCACTTCCTAAGGTATACAAATGTTTAGTCACTGCACTGTACGCCTCTGTAATACTGTATGTCAAGTACAATTTAAAATAAATAAATAAAATAAGGCTTGTATAAGGACACTGGTTTCCTCTTGCACAGAAGATGAGGCAGCAACGTCAAGGTTCACTCACCTAGGTGGCTCTGGGTGAATTCTAGGCTTGACTTCGCTGCAGACATGGGAGCACTTTTGGTTAAGATGTTATAGAAGTTCACCCCATCTGTGTTCTGAAATAGAAGTACATGCGGCTGTTTGTTTTCTTTATTTCTCCATTATCAATGTTGCAAAACCAGAAAAGCACCTGGCCATCCATCTTATTCCAGGACAGCTTTCTCTTTGCAAATCTGCTCGGACTGGAGAGAAACACATCTCAGCAGGCTCAGCCAGCCCGGCCTCCTGGGGGTAGTGAGCAGCTCATGAGTGGAGCTTAGATGCTGCAGGAAAAAATGACGGGACTGTATGTTCACTTACACGGAGTAGAGGGGCAGAGGGTCCCCCGAACTCGAGTCTATAGCCAGTGCACTCTTCCTTCTGGCTCCATGGGGTCAGAAGGCTGCTTGCCAGGGACACAAACACTCACCTCTACAAGCCATATTGTTTTTCATAGAAACCATACATTCAGTCAAGGGACAAGCAAGTCTTGCAGGGCTGGGTGGCTTTCTGACCCTGTCACTGCTCATTGAGGTCAGATTATCACTTAGTGTGATTTCTGGGGAGTCTCAAGGTAGACCCCAGTCCTGGTAAAACCAACCAAGGGTCCTACATCCATGGGCAAAAAACCCTGGGCTGGCCCCAGAACGTGTGCTGTTTGTTACCTGTTCGACTACCATTTCTGCTTGTCCCCACAGCTCGGTGGCCTCTTTGTAGAGTCCCTTATTTAAGGCATCCAGGACCTGCTCTGCAACCTGAGACACCTCTGCCAGACCTTGGTCATCCAGAAGAGACTGCAATGCAAATCAAGAACACAAATCTGGCTTTGCTACAGTTAGGGATGGGGACAGAATGAGTGGGAAGGAGAAAGGGGAGTTTATAGACGAAAGCATCTGTCACAAGTCCCAGATTTATCATGGAAGAGATACAGCAAAATGTTAACTTAGTCTAGATGATAGTATATGGATGTTCACAGTGATCTTTCAACTTTTCTGCACAGGTGCACATTTTTATAATAAAAAGTTGGGGGGATTTATAAAATGGTGCTTCTTATACCTGGCAAAATGGGATCACTGTGCTGATGTTTCTTGAAATTTGTCCCTGAGGCCAGCTATTGCTTAGGGTCTCCCATCTGATATGGACTAAAAGTCCCCATGGGTCAGTGTCACCCACACAGGGGCACTCAGCTAGCCTTGTCCTTTCCGACAGCAGAGCCAGAGAGGTTGGCTGGGCTGCTGACCGCAGAGGGTGCGGAGGCGAGGCCCACCTACTTACCATGCTGTACAGGTAAGGTCCCCAAGAGAGCACCGAATCTAAAGGAAACCACACAGGCACAACATAAGTCCCTCATGGCTCCATCCTTCCAGAGGAAAACCTAACTGGTCTCTCTCCCAAAGCAGAAAGAGCCAGAAGCAGAAAACCCTGAGGCTTTACATCGAAAGGCTCCTCCATCATGCCCCAGGGCCCACGCAGGTGAGAAGCTGCTGTCTCCCTGGCTGGAAGGTGGGACCAGGGTGTGGGCACCCATGCTGACTCAGGCCTAATGGCACATGAACCTGGCCCAGTGAGTGAGTCATGGCCAGGGATGGTATCCCCACACACAGGCTGTGTTTATGTGGCGGAGGCTCTTATCCACTTAGAGGCTTTTGACAGCTGACAGTATTCCCCCCGCCCTCACACTTCTGCTCTGCTTCCTGCCTGCTCCTCCCATTTGGGGACACTATCTTCTGCCAAGTTGCTAATTAAGGAAGAAGACTAATGATTACATAATTCAAGCGTCTGTGGTTACACTACCAATCAGTTCATTTCCATTCCACAAATGCATTGAGAATTTACAAAGGGTCTGAAGCTGGTAAGGAGCTTTGTAAGACAGAAACATGAGTAAGACAATGCCTGCCCTCACAGAGAACGGTGGGGCTGGCTTTAGACAAGTTCACTACCACCGTGACGCTAGGTCAGAGACGTGCCAGCCAACACAGTATCGAGGATCCCAAGTTGTAAAGTACGTTTAAATATGCCCCTCCTTTCCTTGAAAGCCGTCCACGGCAATCTAAGGCCAAACCTCCCAGAGTACCTATGTTTCGAATAACCTCAGTTCTGCAGAATTTTAATCTATGTATTAAAAAGAAAAAAATTCTTCGGTGAAATATCTTTGGGGTTATGCAAAATGTAACACATTTCTTTATTGCAGGCCTTCTCAGAGCGTCTGCTGTGCCGATGAAGGAGGCGGAACCCGGGGTTAACACTTCCAGAACTCGGGTGACCACGGAGCCCTCTGCACAGCAACGCACTGGACTGGTATTCTTCAGTGCTCTGAGACACGCAGGCGCACCCGGCAGCACCCACCTACCCACGGCCCTCTCCAGCCAACCTTTAAGCCGGTGTCCTGGTTTCTGGAAACACAAAACTGTCTGCAAGTCTCCACTGCGTCCCACTCCCTGCTTGATCTACACCAGGAATCGACAAACTTTTTCTCTAAAAGGGCAAAGAGTAAAGATTCTTGGCTTTGCAGGTCTCTGTCACAACTACTCGACTTTGTTGGGGCAGCCTCCAAACAATATGTAAATCAAAGGGTGTGACTGTGTCCTCATAAAAAACTTATTGACCAAAGCAGGGGCAAGGCCGACATGACTTGTAGGTCATGGTTTGTTGACCTCTGATGTAGACCTGAGATGTCCGACTGAATTTTCTGCAATGACGGAAATGTTCTATGTCTGTGTGGTCCAACAATAGTCAATAGCCATGTGTGACCACTAGGCATTTGAAATGTGAACAGTGCAACTGAAAAGACTGAAAATTGTATTGTGCCCTGGCTGGTGTGGCTCAATGGACTGAGCGCTGGCCTGTGAATCGAAAGGTTCGATTCCCAGTCAGGGCACATGCCTGGGTGTGGGCCAGGTCCCCAGTGAGGGGGCCTGTGAGAGGCAACCGACTGATAGATACATTGATGTTTCTCTCCCTCTCTTTCTCCCTACCTTTCCCTCTCTCTAAAAATAAACAAATAAAATCTTTTAAAATGTTACATGAGTAACTGAGTCTTATAAAATCAACTGGACTTTATCAAATTTTTTTAAAAATTATTGCATTTTAGTTAATTGAAATAGTCACAAAGAGTTCTCTGGCTACCATGCTGATCTGTGCAGATCTTCTGGAGGACATGGAAACGTGTGTTTATATCTCTCCTTGTACCTAACTACTTAGCAAGCAATTAATAATTGTTCATAAGATTAATAGTGCTTCCCCCTCAAAGAGGGAGGACTTCTGGGATGCAGGGGCAATACAAAGTGGATCTGGAAGGAGGGAGCAAGATCTGGACAAAGAAATTCACACGGGGAGGCGGGTCATGGCAAGGTGAACGGCACCTGCGCAGCCATGAGGTTACACTTCCTGGTCTCCTGGTGGCAGCGCAGTGGTTACGCACATGAATTCCAGTGGCTGTGGCCCGGATTCAAGTCCTGGCTTTAGCTGTGTGACTCTAGAAAAACTGCTTAACCTCTCAGAGTTTCACCATCTCCCAAATCAGGATAATAACAGCATCTATCCCATGGAGGTGGTGTAAGCACATGCAAAGTGCTTCCTGTAGTTACGAAACTGTGATGAGACCCCAGGAGGAAGCGTGGGGGCCAGCGCTGTAATTTTGAGTGAGGCACCTGTCAAGACACCTGCTGGACCCTCCTGCCTGTGATCAAGGTACCCACAGCTTCCTGGTGTCCTAGGAGGTCCATCCAGGAAGGACAAACAAGCGGCAGCACTTTTTTCAATGACTCAGAGTCTTGGTGGTGCCATTATTCTCTGAGATGCCAAGAATGAGGGCAAGAAATAACCATGCCAGTAGCACCAGCATATCCTGAATCCATTGGGGACACGGCTCTGTAAACATGGACACGCCCAGGTCACAAGCACCCCGGCTAAGAGACAGAGCAGGGAGAGCCTAGAAAGTTCCCCGTGTCCGTTCCAGCTTATTCCCCCTCCCCACTTCAAGCAACTCTCTTCTGATTTCTAACTTGACAGGCTGGTTTTGCCTGTGAAAAGCCAGCTTTTGTTGGGTAAGAACAGTAGTCTTCAACCAGGAGTAGCTTTTTTTTCCCTCCAGGGGATGTTTGGCAATGTCTGGAAATATTTCGGGTTGTCATACTGCAGTGGAAACCCTGGCGTCTAAGGGTAGAGATGCTAATACCCTCCAAGGCACAGCACAGGCCCCCACAATGAAGAATCGGGTGACTCAAAATGTCAGCAGGGCTGAGATTTTGCATCCTGTGTCCGAGTTAGGTACTAGGATGGCTACTGCAGGTGTCCCAGGTCACGCCCCGGATGTCTGCAATGTAAATAACTCTAATCTGCACTCCCAACAAGGATGCTGATGCTCCGGTTATGAAACTCTGAACCCGAGTGCAGGACCTGATGGTGACCTTGTTTCATCACTGCCATCAGTGACAGATGGGAATTTCGCCCCAAATGCTCATGCTAACACCCAGTGCAGGGAGGGGACAAGAGGACAAACAGGCCTAGGTTTGAATCCTGGCCAGGCCATTCATTCTGTAGGTCAGAGACCAGCTTCCACCACCTCTCAGAGCCTTTAGAATGTCTTCTACTGTAAAATGCGATTCTTTTGTTCTGAGAATCCAATGAAGACAATTCGGTTCAGTCCCCAGCAGCCCAGGGTAGGGGCAGCGTAAATGAGTTCTCATCCCCAAATTTCTTGGAAGGCCCTGGGCACACACATTCAGTGTGAACTTCTCCAAGGACCCAGAAAAACCCACTGCCTTGTTCTCTGATCGGGATACCCCAGCCCAAAGTCCCAGGGAAGCCCGGGGAAAGGAAGGAAAGGACTGTCTAAAATTCGGTACTTACCAACAGGGGAGATCCAGGAGTCACCCAAAGCAACCCCAGAAAAGTTGCACTTGATGGTCCCTTCCTGGACGGCCTGAAAGAGGAGGAGCCGAGAAACATCCTTACATCCTTGCCAAGGGGATGCAGGGGCCTCTGTCTCTTCCTCAACAGGAGGAAGCCCAGTCCTCGTACAACGCTTTCACGAGCAACCGCAGCAGACCCCTGCCCTTCCTCCCCAAGACTCCGCCGGCCTCCGAAGGCCTCAGACACCCACTGGAGAACAAGAGTAACTCTACCAGATGGGTGGGAACTGCTGGGTTTCCCTCTACTCTTTTCACAGGGTGTTGGCAGGATGTGTGTGGGGTCTGGTGCAGCCCCCGTGTTTCTCCTAAAAGAGGGGCACTGTCACCCGTCTGCCCCGAGGCCTCGTGTCCCACAAGGTGCTCAGAGGGTTCCCCGAGACCCTGCTCCGTGGGCACGCTGCAGCTGCTGAAGGGCTGGGAGGCCCCTTGGGAGGCCCTCGAGGGTGGGACGATGACGTCGGCCTAGGACCTCATGCTCCTCTGCCCCCCTTTTTTCACTTAACAGTAATGCAGCAGCAGAGAACTGGAAATGATCTGAATGTCACAGGATAGGCTGAATGAATTGTGGCCATTTCCATGGTACATGATGCAACTTCAGAAAAAAAATGAGGAGGCTCTTTATGAACTGGTATGAAAAAATCTCCAAGGTATATTGTTCAATTGAAGAGACATATAGAATAGTGCGTACTGTACACTATCATTTGTACGAAAACGGGGAAGTAGAAAATACGTGAATTAGCTTCTACAGGCATGACGCACCTCTGCAAAGATACAGAAGAAACTACTAACAGGTCACCATGGGGGAGGGGGCAGCGGCGAGCGAGAGCACTGTTACAGTACGCCTTTCACACTTTTGGAACTTTGAATTATGTGACCGTACAAGCTATTCAGAGCCCTAAAACAAGAAAACATCCTGGCTGGTACGGCTCAGTGGATTGAGCCCTGGCCTACAAACTGACAGGTCACTGGTTCAATTCCTGGTCAGGGCACATGCCTGGGTTGCAGGCCAGGTCCCCCGTTGGGGGCACTTGAGAGGCAACCACACATTGATGTTTCTCTCCCTCTCTTTCTTTCCTCTTCCTCCCTCTAAAAATAAATACAATCTTTAAAAATAATTTTTAAAAATTAAGTAACACCATGAAGACGTTCCCTGACAAATGCAGAAAATGGGACATTGTGCAAATTTAGTAGGTCGGTTCTCTGCTAAGTCAGGTTCACAAGAAGGGACTGAGCTAAAGCACATTTTGGGGACATGGCAGCCAGGACCAGCAACACACTGGCCACAGAGGGCGTGCTGGGACCCGCGAGGAAGCCCGGATACTTGAGATGAAACTTTCATGAAATGAAAGGATGAGGACCAGTGACTGAAGAAAGCAGGTGACAGCCCTGGCTGGTGTAGCTCAGTGGATTGAGTACGGGCTGCGAACCAGACAATCGTGGTTCGATTCCCAGTCAGGGCACATGCCTGGGTTGCAGGCAGGTTCCCTGCAGGCCAGTTCCCAGCAGGGGACACACAAAAGGCAACCATACATTGATGTTTCTTTCCCTTTCTCTTTTCCCCCTTCCCCTCTAAAGATAAATAAATAAAATCTTAAAAAAAAAAAAGAAAGCAGGTGACAGTCACTATGTAGAATATCTTTGTGTTGGCCGAAACATGACTGATTCAAGAGAGTGCCCAAAACGACTTCAAGGCCGCATACATGCAGGTGGTCAGAGTGGAGAACTCTGTGGGAAGAAGGCGGAATTCTAACGGCTGTGTTTTCCAATGTTCTGTTACACACATACACTGCTTCTGATTAAAAGTTCATTTACAAAAATAAGGAATTAAAAGTGAAACTCCTACAAGCGCACTGTGGAAAAAAATAGAATTTAAACTGAGGGCCTCGGCTGGGTAGCTCAGGGGGTTAGAGCATCATCCAGATACGCCAAGGTTGGTGGTTCGACCCCCGGGCAGAGCGCATACAAGAATTAACCAATGAATGCATCAACAAGTGGAACAACAGATGGATGTTTCTCTTTCTCCCTCTTTCTCTGTCTCTCTAAAATCAATAAATAGAATTTTAAAAAGTTTAAACACAGAAAGACAGCTCGGCCCCACTTCTGCCCTGACATTTGCTAGTGAACCACAGTTAGCATGTTATGTATCCTTCTAACCACCCCTTTCTTTGCTTTCACAGGCACATATATGTAGCGTATATGTGTACACACACACACATATACAAACGAAGCTATCCTTTCTTTTTTTCCCTTCAGGACCATCAGTCTTTGGGAAGGCTGCCAAGTGTTCCGTCCTGGAAGGATACACCTGTTTCCTTTAAATAATCCTCTACCAACATCCACGCGCCTGTTTCAGCTGCTGGCCTCACAAGCAGTACTGTACGGAACCTCCTCTGATACACACACGTGTGTAAGTGCTTCCCCAGAACAGATTCCTGGAAGTGAAATGATTGGGTCGAAGGCCACATACATTTTAAAAGTAACAGAGTCTGCCAAACTGCCTTTTTAACATGATTTACCAATTTTCGTACTCACTGAAGAGGCATGAGAGCATTCAGCAAAACTGGGTGTTACCAATCTTTTAAATATTTTCAGATCTGTATTTTCTGTCAATTTTCTAGAAAGTTGTTGTCCTTTTTAAGCGGATTTACTGATTCAAATACTTCTTCTCTTAAAATTACTTAGAGAACTCCGAGAAGGTTTAAACTTGTGTGTGGTCTAAACACATCCAACTTATCCCTTCTGGCTTTTGGGCGCCTCATCTCAGGAAGGAAAGGTTTCCTACCCAAGACTGTAAAACTTTTCTCTTACAGTTTCAAGTTCTTTTACAGTTGAGATGTTAATCTCTTTAGAACTGATGTTTTATGCAAGGCAAGGGTTCAACTTTACTATTTTCCAAAGTGACAGCCACTGACTATTCTACCTGTTCCGCAATGATGCAAAATGCCATCTCATCTATATATAATCATACGGAATTATGATACATAGGTATTCTATGAGTACACAGAGATACATATACATACATAAACCTAAGTACACATTAAATCTGCCCCTAGATTCTTTACCCTGTTACCTTCCACCCACTTGTCTGTTGCTAAGCCAGCACCGCACTTTACACACTGCAGCTTCACAGCTTGTTTGATGTCTGGTAGGGCGGCCTCCACTGTTCTTTTTGGAACTTTCCACGGCTATTATTACAGACTTGCTGTTACTCTGTATGTACACTGTCCCCTCAAAGTCCATTCAGTATTAAGTGAGCGCAAGAAGTAACACAATCAGCTTCTGTCCGAAACCCAAACAAGAGTCATCCTCCCTCTTACCTTATGAAGTTCTAGAGCAATACTGGCAGCCATTTTTCCCCCGTAGGACTCGGAGAAAATGTAGAATGGAATCGTCTAGCAAGAAAAGAAATTTAAGAAGAACTAAGTCTTCTGCGTACCTTTTCATTCATGCAGATTCATTTCTCATTTCTACTGCATGTCACGGCCAAAGAAATCTGCTTCTCACTGTCTTTCTCCCTCCCTGTATTTGAATGGTCCGTCTAATTAGAATCTCTCTCCAGGGTCATCCCTTCAAGCTGAAAACCCCCTTCAGTGTTGACTGAAACAAAACCCCACAACCCAGTCTGGGGCGTAACGCGGCCATCGACTGGGCCCTGAGCTCTTGGGGAAGTTTATTCCAGTGGATGCAGTGTTACTAGTGTTAAGCTCTTGGCTGGTCCCGAGGCTTTGCTTACCTGGAACTCTTGGCGGCAGTTGAAGAAGGACTCCAGGAGAACCATCATGTCTGATGCCACGGTCGTAAGGTCTTTGGCAAACGTGCCGTCCTTCTTCACGTAACTGAACCCAGTGCCCACGGGGTTGTCCACAAACAGGAGACTGGCAGACTGCAGCTGCGTGCCCCAGAGGAAAGTCAAACGTCACAGTCATGCAGTCGGCCACCAACTACCTTTTCACCATCTTGTATGAGCGCAACAAAAACCACATGTGCGTGGATGTCGGTGTGCTTACGGTTCCATTGTTAAGGGACTTAAAAAAATCAAGGGGCAGGGACCCAGACTACTCTGGCCAGGGAAAGGCAAGAAGGAAAGATGAACATATTCCTGGGGATCAGAGCGTGTAAGCTGTCACTTTTCACGTGGTACAAACGTCCTAAAAATAATGTATTAGTGCAGGTGGAGCCATGCAGTGAGTCTGAGCAATGGGACAGGACAGCCGAGGTCTGATCACCACATGTCAGCTTCCTGCAAGACAAATCCAGTTTCCACATTGGCCTGCCTTCCCTGTTGACTATGAGGACAGAACTTACTCTAATAAGTTCTCAGAGGTATAGAATTTTTCATTTGGAAGGATCCTTAGTGACGACACAGTCCAGCCATGTCCTTACTGATGAGGAATGAAAGCCCCCAAAGGGCCAAGGACTTGTCCAAGGTCACAAACTGGGATAGACAATGGCAGCATTAGGACTAAGACCCAGGTCTCCTCACTCTTCATTCAGGTTCTCTGCCCCAGTCACGTTACCCTCTGAGTTCTGGGAGGCCTGGGGACAAGCCAGGGAGGCACCCTGCTACTGCAAGTGGAAGCGATATGCCAGCTGGAAGTGAGTGTAGGATGTTCCAGGCTGAGGGAACAGTTTGTTCAAAGACCCTAAAGCAAGAGTAAGTAAAAGGAAGACCAGTGTGGAGACAAGAGGATCAAAGGACTCCAGGGGTCCTTCAGGAAGAGGGGATCCTGCAGTGAGTCTTAAAGAACAGTAGGTGTGAATGTGGTGAGCTAGGCTGTGAATGGGTGGCCACAGGAATGGCGTCCAGGCCAGGAAGCGGCCTGTGCAGAGGCCTTACAGTACAGTGTGTGTGGACAGATGCTGGGAGAGGTGGCTGGAGGTAAGAAGCTGGCCCACACCCAGGAATCTGGGCTTGGTCTTTGGGATAACTGAAAGATGGTAAACTGAGAAATTATTTGCACTGGAGAGTTTCACTCAAGAACATGTGGAAAATAGGCAGGGGGCGGGGGAGCACCACTAGCAGGAATGAATGAAGAATATTAACAACACCTGGGTTGTTAAATATTAAACACAGCGCTACCACAGGACCCAACGATTCCACTGCTGGGTATATCCACTGAAAATGAACACAGGAGCTCACAAGAATGTCTGTACTCCAGATCTCTCTGCACTATCACAATAACCAAAGGGGGAACAGTCCAAGCGTCCATCAACAGGCGAGTGGATATAAAAAACGTGGTCCTTCCCAACAAGGAAATATTACTCAGTCTTAAAAAGGGAGGTACCTGGCTGAACCTTGTAAATACTACACTAAGTGAAAGAAGCCAGACACCAAAGGCCACAGGTTGTGGGATTCCGTTCTTATACAATGTCTAAAACAGGCAAATCTATAGAGACAGAGGGTAGATCGGTGGTTGCCTGAGCAGGGATCGGAGGGTAACAGCTAAGGGGTATGAGGTTTTTTTTTGGGGGGGGGGTCGGAGGGCAATGAAAATGTTCTGAGATGGATTGTGATAATGGTTATAAAACTCTGAATATACTAAAAGCCATTAAACTGTACACTTTAAATGGGGACTTGTATTGTATGTGAATTATGTATTTTGAAGAATTCATTCTCAGGTGAAAGTGAGCAGGAGGACAGTGAGTGGGACCCAGCAGAGGCTGGGTGTGGGAGGTTGTAGGGGAAGGAGGGTGAGAGAGCCAGGGAGTGGGGGTGGGGCGCTGACCGAGGGCTCACGGAGGAGGTGCAGCTGGGGGTGAAGAGATGGAGTGGAGACAGAGACTAGAGAGACCTCGAAAGGGCAGAGAGGCAGGGGTGGAGGGGGGACAGAGGGGAAAGAACAGGGACACTGTAGCCAGAGGGTGGGATATGGAGTCAGAGTGCAGACACAATCAAAATGTGGGTGATGACAAGGTCCCGGGTGTCTGCTAGAGGAGGGTTCTGTGGACAAGTGGAGAAAAGCAGGAGAGGAAGGGGGGCGGGCAGTACTGCTGAACTTGACCCCGCCCAGTATGGAGTGGGCCTGGAGGGGCTCAGCCTCAGAGAGCAGCTTCAGCTGGGGCCACCCTCACCGTACCCAGGTAGTTTTTCGTGGTTTGAGAGAACTGTCAAGCGGCCCAATTTCCTCAAAGTTTCCAAATCCAGTGCTGGATCCACCGGGACCACCCTGTGGAAGAGGGAAGAATCAAAAGTTAGTACTGAGAACATGTGAGTTAAATCTTAGTCATCACCATGATGACCACATTTGCTATGAACGATTCATGATTTGGTGATGGCTGTGTTAACCCCACACAAAGGCACAACCGACCTGGTCAACCAGGGGCTTCTGCGCTCACGGAGCCCCCTGCTAACGGCTGAGATCTTTCTAAAAGGAATAGGGCTGGGCCAAGAGCCCCCAGAGGGAATGTTCCTACTTCTGATTCTCCAAACTTGAATCCTGGCCTGCCATGGACTGAAGAGTCCATCTCGTCCAGCTCTTCCCTCAAAGACAAGCAATAAGGCCCAGGGGCAGAGCGGGGCAGGGTGGGGCAATTAGGGCTCTACCAGGACTGGACCCAGGGACTTGGGACCGTCCACCCTGGAATAAAAGAGCACTCCCTTCCCACACCCTGCTTTTGCCACATCACTGTGCCACCAGGAAATGCCCACCCCCACCCCCAGCCAAGGACAACGAGAAGCACACTGCAGGGTACTTCTCTTCCACTGGAGGACAATCCCTGTCTAGAACTTTGGGATGGGGTGCTGTCATGGCCCAGGGCAATCCAGTGACTCTGAAATATGTGTCGCCCGCCATGCTGAGATGGCTTGAGAGTGCAGCCAAAATAGCTCACTGCTGCAATCAGATGAAGTGACCTGGATTCCCAAAGACCTGCCCGGGGAAGTCAGTGTGCGTTCCCTCAGTGGGCTGCTAAAACACAACAGGTCTCCTTTTAATCTAAATTAGTAATTATTTCTTCCTTAATCATAATCTTTTTTCTTCTTCTTTGCACCTCTGAGGAAATGAAGAGCCAGTTAGTTAGTTAGTTGACCAGCTAATAACCTTCCAATAGCATCTCAGCTCCCAAGGTTGATCTAACCGAAGGTCACACACTGGACTATGAGCCACCCAGAGAAATCAAGTACCTGTCTGAAATCAGGTACCCAGGTACCGGCCACTCAGCTCTGGGATGGAGCATGCAGGCCCCATGTGGCTGCATCTCCTGATTTTGGGGAATGTTGGCCAGTTACTCAAATAAAACAATGACCCTGCTCTGCAATCAACCACAAGGAAGGTTTGCACCTTCTACACATGGGTTTTCAACTTATTTTCTTGAAAACCCAGGGAGTGCCAGAAGGCAGCCTATGACCAAGGGGAGGTTGAATGGGTGGAACTTGTTCAGCAGGAATGCCATCTGGCCCTTGGCACTTCTGCTTTTGCTGCTATGTCAGCTTTCACTTGGGGGTGAAAAAATTCTGCTAGTTAATGAAAAGTTAAAGCAAAATCCCCTAGATTAGAACACCAAAGCCCAGAAAAGGGAAATATCTTAGTATAGCTCCCGGGGGCAGGAAGGGCTCGGGTACCCTGGACCCCTGACCGACAGGCCTGGGTTTGTCCACTGCAGGGCTCTCCCTGACAACCTGCTGCCTGGGGTGGACTGAGGTTCCCGGAGCCACACACGTGGGTTCTTCTTCTGTGGCATTTTCATATCTGCACCCTTGATGGAGCCTCAGCTCCAGCTCATCAAGGGAGCTGTTCTGATAACCCTAAGACAGAAAGTCCCTCTCCGGCAAACTGCTCATCCTCACTCCACCCCACCAGATAGGCCAAATGGACCCAAAGTATTGGGACGCTGCTTAGGATTACTGACATTTTTGCAGGAAGTGACATTTGCATCCTATGCAAATAAGGACCTGGGTGCTCTATTTACTGGTGAGCAACCTGGAGCCCCAGGTGGGCCAGGCCTACAGCTTCCGGAGGCTGAAGCAAGACCGTGCTCCTCAACCCTTTCCTAGAGATTGCTCTTCCAGGTGGGTGCGGACCACCTCTGCGCAGATATTTTAGGAATGCAAGGAAGAATCCTCTGCCTGCCCCCAAATACCTTGTAACCAGTTCCATGCCTTCATCCTACCATCAGAGCTCAAGGTCAGAACGCAAACACACGAAAAAGGAGAAGGCCGCACATCTAATACTAAAATACAAGAGGCGGAGTCCTTTCAAAAGATGAGTTTTCTGGGGGGCAAGAAGTTAGGCCCTGGGTAAGGACTGAGAAAAGAGAAAGAGGAGGGCCCAGTCAGGTACCTCGGTCTTTGCTTTGGAACCATTCAAAGCACTTTTCATCGGGATATAGTCAAACTTGTCTTCAGGAGCTTCTGGTAAAGGATCCTACCACTGGTTGGGCTCATTACACAAACAAGCAAACTGGTAAAAGGCTAGAACCCCTCATTCTCTGATTTGCCCTTAGTATACCGCTGCCTCTGCCTGCCTCAGGAGGATGCTGGACTCTCATGCCTAGGAGACTCCCCACTGGCTGCTGGACCAGATCAGTCCTTCACCATCTGCTGAGCTGTGAGCCCTTAGGAATATCGTGTTAAGTGGGGGAATCTCAGCCTCAAACCTGGCAAAGAAGCGAAGCCACTTTTACCTGAAGCCACATGACCAGGGGCAGTTCTGAGAAGTTCTTGCAGGGGCTGGTGGCATAATAGAGCCACCAGAACATGTGGGCATCCTTCCGGACAGTCACGTAATCCCATACTTCTTTGCCTTCATCCGCAGGTAGGTCGAAAACGGCTCCTGAAATAGAGGCACAGATTTCATTTTCCTGAAGGATGTCTAACGCCTGGATAAATTCCAAGTCCCATAGAGGTGGCCATGCCAGGCTGGAGATGATTTGGTTTATAATTTAGCCAACTGACTCACTCCATTATATTGTGAAAGTAAGAAAAAGCCTCCATTATGAAAACAAACAAACAAAACTTAATAGAAAACTCCTTAATGGAGTCTTCTACTTCTCCCTCTATACCCTCTGCAATGTTTGGATTTTTAACAATAAGCACAAAACACTTTTGTAATTCTGTTTTTTAAAAAAAGTAATTTAGCCCTGGCTGGTGTGGCTCAGTAGATTGAGCACTGGCCTGCGAACCGAAGAGTCACTGGTTCGATTCCCAGTCAGGGCACATGCCTGGGTTGTGGGCCAGGTCCGCAGTAGGGGGCGTGTGAAAGGTAACCACACATTGATATTTCTCTCCCTCTCTCCCTCCCTTCCCTTCTCTAAAAATATATAAATAAAATGAAAAAAAAAGAGATTTACATTTTGGGGGAAGAGGAAAATCTCAAAATGCAACATGCTGGTTTTTATATCTTATTTAATATATGATTAAAGAGATATCACAAATTAGTGGGCTGAGATGATTCACTATATTATCCTGGGGCAACTGTTAACTTTTTTGAAGGAAAAACATAAAATTGCAGGTCCTCTCTTAAAATAATAAACCAATAAAAATTTGAAGTGAATCAAGTATTTCAATTTTATTTACTTAATTTTTTGATTTTAGAGGGAGAGAGGGATGGTGGGAAAGACAGAAACATTGATTTGTTGTTCCACTTATTTATATATTCACTGGTTGCTTCTTGCATATGCCCTGACTAGGGATTGAACCCACAACTCTGGTGTACCAGGACGATGCTCTACCAGCTGAACTACCTGACCAGAGCAAGTATCTCAATTTTAAATCTCAAATATTAAAAATAATATAAAAATATAGTAAAATGCTTTTTTCTGGCCTCTGAATGGGGAAATGATTATAAAGAAATCATTTACAAATAGAAGAGAGACTATTAAGGAAAATATCAACAGAGTTGAAGACAAAAACTTGTTACATTTCTATGTAACAAAATTCCTGTACATCTAAAATAAAATGAAAAGGCAAACAACAAAGAAAGGTGCAATGAATATGAAAATGGGTAATTTTCCTCACTCATGCAGATCAATTTTAAAAATAAAAGACCCTAATAGTTAAATGGATAAAGTCCAGGAGGAAATAACTTGTGAAAAAGGAATATGAATGTCTGATAAGTATGTGAAAGAATGGTTAACATTACTACTCAAAGACATGAAAATTAAGGCAATAATGAGGTCACTAAAAAAAAACTTCACTTATTTGATAAGCAAAAAAAAAACGACGGCACTTGCTCAGGTCCACCAGGAGACAGGAGACTGGCTCTCAGTACTGTCAGCAAGTGTAACTTTTAGGGAAGGCAATTTGGCAAAAAAAAAAATGTATCAAAAACTATGTTTGTGTCCTTTAATCCTACAACTCCAATGTCCTTAATTAACTTTTTTAGCACCTGCAAAATAATTATCAGAAGAGAGTATGTTAAATACATTTCCTGTGTGACCTTTGCTAACACCTTTCAAGATATAGTATCTTTTTTTTTTAACACCACTCTGAGGGAAAAGGACTGATGTTAAAAGGTGACTTATTACCCTTGGTGCCTGGAATTTTCTGCCTTTTACTTCCTCCCTTCTTGAATGTAAAGCGTCTGCAGCAAGTGAAAGAACCAAAGACTGGTCTGAAGAAGAGAAGGCAGTAGATGAGGAGACTATGCTGTTTGTGACTGATAAGGCTGCAGATCAAGAAAATCAAAGGGGGCTTAAGGAGAAAAAGAGAACTGCTAGAATATAAATGTGACTCTAAGAGTCTAGATACAAGTAACCCAAGAGTACAGTCTCCTTGAAAATGACAGATAAGGCTCTGGCCCCTTTTGACTTAACCCCGTGCACTCCTCTCTTCCCTGGCCGTGACCCCTGTTAAAGTTTAGGGGCCACACATTGAACGACATCTCCCAAACACAAACTGAAGGGCGGACGATCCCAACCTTACAAAAGGGGAAAAGCCACTATTAAGCAACCTGCTTAAAATCACAAGGCAAGTTCGTGACCACTTTGAATTCTCAGTTGATTCAGAACAGGAAACATTTTGCTGGAAAAAGAAGACTGAAAATCAATTTGCAAGTCACCCTTTAGACACGAATTTGCTTTTGCCCAAAAAGCCTCAGTGTGGGGAGACATTATAGTGCATGTGCTGATCAAGTAGAGGAAAAAGGCCTTCTCTCAATCAAACGTCCCATTCGCTGTAGGATTTTCAGGGTCTTCGTGTGTCAGTTTAAAACATAAAAGCCTCTTAACCCCACTCAGCAGCCAGTGACGGCAGCAAAACGGAGGTAGGTGGCCTGAGGACCGTGGAAACCTCATTGATGTGCAGTTTCTCCAAATCATACATTATGCACAACTGCTTCTGCCTAGGTGTAGAAGGAGCACACTTCTACCCAAGGAAGAAGGGAGCATCAGACCACGCAGGGCTAAAAAACGGTAGAAAAAGCACTTTCACTTAAAAAAAACAAAAGAACAACAAAAAACCCAGTGAGGTTCAAAAGCACAGGAAAAAAGCTATTTCCTTTACCCAGCACAAACGCAGTACGAGACTCTCGGCCCTGGAGGGAGAAGGAGGCACCGGTCACTGATATAGACACTTTTCACCCGAACCTACCTGTACTGAGGCCCAAAAGCAGCAGCAGTAGCACCGACACGAGACGGAACCGCAGCCCCAGCTCCATGACTAACACCAGGTTGCAGCATCAGCAACAGGCTGGAGCCAGTGGTCTACCACGTGACTACTGCAGGCGGAGCCAGGACGGGACTGAGGTGGAGGCGGGGCCTGGGAGGCCTGGGGCGGGGGTGGGGGCGGGGCCTGCGCCGTGGGGTCACTGGCAATGCCCGAGGCTTCCTCTGTGGATGTGGTCAACCAAGACCCCGGCAAGGGCTGGGAGGAGAGAGGGGTTGGTTCCGCCTGCCCCACGTTGTCCTTCTCCGTTTTGGAGACAAAATCGAGAGGAAGAGACGTTTAATGCATTTGACGTAAGTTGTGTGTCAGGACTGAGACACTACAGAGAAATAACAAAGAGGGTAGTACTTCCTGCCCTGGCCACCTCTTCCTTCCCCAACAAAAGGCCTGGCATTTCAAGGGCCTGCTGCCTCTGCCCCAAATCAGATGCAGCCTGGACCAGCCAGCTGGTCCTCGAAAATTGTGGGATTCCACTTTCGAGATTTTTAAAAAAGCATTCTTCTTATGAAGTTACATATATTATGGACATTTTGGAAATTTGAGAAAAATGTTAGATCCTACATATCATTGTTTCTTTTTGGGATATTTTTTTCCCTCTGGCTTTTACTTCATCTTTTTGAATACAAAAATACAGATTTTTGTAGTTCTTTTTCCCCTTGCTAATTTGTCATCAGTATTGTTCTGGGTTGTTAACACTATCTTCACAACACTTTATTTTTTGAGATAAAATAAGATTTTAATACAGTATATTCTGCTCAAAATTGACAAAAAGTTTCAGTGTGAAGGCTGCTAACCCAGAGGCACTGCTGACCTGGCTGTAGGTGAAGGTACACCTGTTAAACTGCTTAAACTAAATGTCAATACAAAACAATCTGTTTTGGTTGAGAACAGTAGGAGCCCAAACATCTATTAGATTCCTGGAGCTTCAGGTTGAAGAAAGGGCTGAGATGCTGTTCTGTCACATACTTTTTTAAATCCAAGTTGCTTCCATTTGAAGAACTAAGAAAACACTACACTCCAGCCCTGGCTGGTGTAGCTCAGTGGATTGCGCGCAGGCCTGCAAACCCAAAGAATCTCAGTTCGATTCCCAGTCAGGGCACATACCTGGGTTGCAGGCCAGTTCCCAACGAGGGACCCATGAGAGGCAACCATACATTGATATTTCTCTCCTTCTCTTCTTCCCTCCCCCTCTAAAGTTAGATAAATAAAATCTTAAAGACAAAGCCAAACCACTACATTCTATCTTGTGTCTTTTGTGAGGATTCTATAAAGCTTAGGTTTGACATCCCAGCATACGGTACATGCTACAGAGGAGCTAAAAGCCGTGACAAGGAGACCACCACTGCACAAAACGTCGGTCTAGTGCCCGAGGTGAGGGCTTCGAGAGGCATCCTTTGCTTTCCTGCTGCTCAGTAACCTGCAGCAATGACTGCACTTGTCAATATACCAGCAGTAATCGGTCCCAGGATGCCCATCAATAGGAGCTCGCAGATACGAACCTACCATTTCACTGCCTGAGGGTGAACAGGGCCAGTAATCCAGCTGGGACAGAAGAGAGAGGACTGCAGCCCACAGGAACACGCCATGGCCCATCTCTGGTGTTAGGTCCGAGTGGCTCAAGAGGCCAGACAGAAGCAGCGAGCTAAGGAGCAGGGTTTATCAGCAGGGAATGAGAGGAAAAGTGGAGCCAACCAAGGGAGGTTGGGACTTGCTCGGTTGTTATTAGGGCAGTGTTTTTAAGCGCAAAAACCCACGAAGGATATCTGTTTGTGGTGTCAGAGCCTGATTGGCTAGAGCTGGTTGCTGGGTGCCGTTTCTGCTGACCATTGTTCTCCATACATCTCGTCAGCCTCGGGTTAAAGCTGCATCCTGTTATGCCGGATCGGCCGGCCCCAGACCCCAATCTTAGCCGGGCATCTGTTTGTCCTGGGTAGGGTCGGCAGGCAGTTCCCCAGGCAGGCATTTTCCCAGGATGCAGTTTTCCACGGTACAGTTTCCCCCCCTGTGATTTTCTATTTCTCCCAGGCCTCCTAGGTCTGTTACTGGGAAGGAGCGGAAAGAAGGGGAGGTGGGGCACAATGTTCCATTGCCCAAGAAGCCTGAGCTTCAGGCTGAGGATCTGCTCCAGGGGCCTGGCTGACCCCGCTGCTGCTGCAGTGCCCCTGGGGTTCCGCTCTCCCTCACAAGAGTCATTTTAAAGAGGCAGTTGGGGGTTTGGGAAGGGGAAGAGAGAAAAGGATGGCAGAGGTGTTTTGTGTCTAAAGGTTAGGTTTAGCTTAGGGCCCACAGAGCCAGGAAATAAGAATATGCAGGAGTTGCACGATGGTCAAGTTATGCGAGCAGGGACCCCCCCAAAACTCGGAATTTATCTATAAAAATTGTGTATTTAGTCTTGCATGTTTAAACTTCAGTTACCTTCAAAGCACTCTCCATTTGATGCGATTTACCTATGGAGACATTTTTTTCCACTGCTCAAAACAGTTTTTGAACTTGTTGGTTTTGATGCCTTTTAGTGCTTCTGCTGTTTTTTTTTTGTTTGTTTCACCTCTTCTACATTGGAAAAACATTTCCCTTTGGGGACTTTTTTAATCCAGGGAAACAAACAAACAAAAAAACATAACTCGAGATGAGATTGGGTGATTGGGGAGGGTGGGACATGGGGGTCATGACATTTTTGGTGAAAAACTGCTGAACACTCAGCACCGTGTGGGCAAGTGCATTTGTAAGTCACCCATTATGAAATAGACAAATGAGTTGAAAGAGTCTTAAAAATTTTTTTCACTGAGGCTGAACACAGCTTCTCCCAACAATGCTAGCTGATACACTGATACAGATGGGTTCCTAGAACACTCACCTAGCAGGGGAAGCCTGTACTACAAAGGGCCCACCCTCCAGAAGATAATTCCAGGTTCTTTTTTGTCCCCTCTTGTGCTTCTAAATATTGACTACTATTTCAAAAGTGCACGATGATCCCTGGCTGGGTGGCCGAGTTGGTTGGAGCATTGTCCTGCACACCAGTAGGTTGTGGGTTAGATTCCCGGTCAGGGCAAATAAGGGAGGCACCCTACTGATGTTTCTCTCACATTGATGTTTCTCTCTTGAGCACACTCTTGCTCTCTTTCTTCCTTTCTCTGTCCTTAAAATCAATGATAAAAAAAGTTCATGAAGAAAACCACAAAACAGAAAAACAAAATACATGTGACAAGGCCTCTCCCTGTCCTGTTCTCCTCCATAGTCCTCCCCGTCCCTGCCCCTGATAAGTGGACAGATGCTTTCATCCGAAGCCTTGTGAAACGGCGGTGTCCTGTGAGTGAAGGGAGAGGGCACAGAGATTTCGGTTACAGAAAGAACTAGGTAACCAGCTTAACATGGGCGGTGCGCAATGCATAAAATACCAGAAAGTGCTTAGAGTGTATACTATTCCATCTGTTTTCTAAGCCAGTCTGATTCCCAGGGGAGAAGTTTTAGACCGTGCAAGCAGAGGCTGAGTTAAGGAACACCCAAATGTTCTTGTAACACTAGAATTGTCAGTGAGTCACTCACGGTGGCAAAGGTGTTGATAAGTGTGGTGTGTGACAATCAGTAAATGCCCTATAAGCTGCATTATCATTTAACCTTCCACACTAGATGGTCCTTCATTAGGGCAAAGACTAAATTTTCCTTTTTCAGTACAGCTTATAATCACGTGGCCTACACCAAATGCACATACACACGCACACCTGGAAAACAGGTGAAAGCTGATTATTCTAACAGCAAAGTTCCTCTTAAAGATTGGAATGATCTTTGTTTAAGAAAAATGCCTTATTGATTCCTTGAAGTTAGGAGATGGGAGCTGAGAGTGTAGAACACCAGCTAAGGTAGCAAAATTGCTCAACTGTGATGCATAGGACTAGGAGGGCGTTTGTTTTGTTCTTCAGAGAGGGAAGAATATAGACAAATGGAAAGAAGAGGCGCCATGCAGAGAGAAAGACTGGCCAAAGAGAGTCAAAGCTGAACAGCCAGTGGAAATTTCTCTGATGAGGGAGTGGCTATTGAATATTAACAGGTGATGCTTGTGGTGTAATTTGAACTTGTGATGTAAACCTGACCTCTTGGGGGCAGGTCAAAAATATAATAGGGCTTTAAGGGCAGCAAGAGGATTGAAAAAAAGATATTGGGAACTCATCTCAAAACGGTACTTATAAATTTTTTTAATTTTATGGGTTTCGTGGGGGGAGGGGAAAGGTTTGAGAAACTGAGGGAGAATAGTTGGGGGCTCCTTAAAGGCTCTTCCAGTGAGTTCTGGGTGCAGACAGTTGGCGCTACATAGCTGTCTTCTGCGTGTGTCCTCACATCACTCCTCCTCTTGTGTCTTTGTGTGCTCACATGTGCTCGTTCACCTTCATGGACGTTCTCACACCTTTCCTCCCCCTGCACCTGGCTTGTTCCTGTGGAAACTGTCAGTTGACAGGCTCCTTCCCAGGGAGGCCTTTCCGAACTCCAAAAAGTTGACTGCGAGGTATCAACCACTTACTGGTGCAGCGACCTTGGGGAAGTCACTTAACCTTTCTGAAATGTTTTCTTTTTAATCTCCAAAATGGGAATAAGGATGCTTCATAATTCATATCCTTGTCATAAAAACTAAAGGAATTACTGTGTGGGAGAACGAAATGGAAATTCGAATGATGTAAAATTTGTGATTTAGAAGTTAATAAGAGGGCTTATTTTTGTATTTTCATGTGGACAGTGATAGGTTTACACTGCTAAGATATTTAAATTCTACTGGATACATTTAAGAGAGTGACTAATTTTTTAACGTTAATATTTACAATACATTAGGAATGACATCTTTTACAACTCTTTATTATGAGAAATTTGGGCGACTGACGTATTGGGAGTTTTTTTAAAAGTTCTTTTGTGTATACAACCTAACCTCTTAGAAGACAACTGCTGAGAACTGCTTTATCAGAGAGTTTATCCAGAGAGTTGCTTAAGTTCTCACCCTATATAGTGCTCAAAGGGAAAGAAGTGAAGGGATTTTATTTATAGGTCCTCTTCCCTAGCCCTG